CAACAACAGTCTGTGGTTCTATAGTGTTCAAGGAGTTTTTCGAGTGGCATTTGAACTGTATAGCAAACAAGATCAGCTCTCAGTTATGGAGTCATTTCAGGTAATTTGAATTTGTCATTTTATGATTTTTATCATGTCCTTATATCTTCTAAATTTGTAATAAAGTGTTTATTGTTTTAAATAATTGTGTTCATAAGGCTCTATGGAAATCTCGAATAAATGACAACAACTTGAACATGACCTATCATCTTGGTGCCCAGGATGTTCAACCCCAAAATGATCAAGAAGCGCAAACAATTTTGGAAAATAATAATACATGTTCATCATACCAAGTCCATCGGCAGTCTGGCGAAGTAGAAACAAACTTCTTTCCAGTACTCACAGATCAGTCAGATATTTCATCATCTTCAGACCATGACTACTGTTCCTCAGAGCAAACAAACTTAAGCCACTCTACTTTACTTGCACAGAAACTTCAAAGCCTAGGGGAAAAAGTGAAGTTATTTACAAGTATTGAAGCAGAACATTTAAAGACTGCCACAAAGGTACTGGACTATGTTGAATACTGTATTACGGGGATGATTGACGAGGAAAAACTGATGGATACTGTGATGGCCCTGTTTGAAACTCATTTTCAGAGCTACTCCATCTACTCAAGCAGTCTGCTGAAGGCTGTGGCAGGTTGGCTTGGCCAGCAGTTCAATGCAGCCAACAGCACCATTAGTCACCGGGTTGAAGGTTTTAAGGCCCAACACATTGAGCACATTACAAACTTGCCACCTCCTGAGGAGCTGGCAACTGAACTTTTCCCAGAGGCAATGCGAAATCTTCTTGCACACTGGATGGGTCTGAGTGACGAGGCAGAAAACTGGAAAAGACACAGCGAATACCCCATTTTATTACTTATTCTAGAATTTGCTAATCACAATCTTATCACAGGAGTAGCTCATGTCTTGTATTCCAGTCTAATATGCAAATAAGTATACTTAGATGTAAGTTATACATTACGTATCATTTGGTCGCAGTTTTGTAGGTTTATAGCATTAAAACACAAATGATTTCAAGTAAATAGTTTCTTTAAAAGTCAAATGTTGATGTCCTTTCCACAGCAAGCTGTTGACAGATTTTGTATTTTGTCCTAAAAGGAATAAAAAGACAGCAATCTCATGATTTTAGGCCAACCTATTAAAAATTATGAACATAAAAACATGACATTTTGCATACACTGCTTGCAAGAGCTTCCCCAGATTACTGTAAAGAATGTTTAATGCAGTCACAGAGAGTTGGAACATCAAACATTTCAAAATTCAATTTTGTTTGCAATTCACTTGTATAACATAATAAAATAATAATAATAATAAATCAAATAGAACACATATTCACCTGGATCCAATCACCAATGGCTTATGTAGACAATTCAGTGATCAAATTATGTATTTTTTCAAATGTAATATGCATCTTTAAGTGTCTCTTTAAAGAAATGTTATGCTATTTTTTAAAAGAGAAATAATATTGTCTTATTTTAATTGGGCAGCAATATATTCAGCTATGTCTGGCAACTGACAAATATG